TTATATTTAATTGTTTTAACTGTTAATTTTGTGTTATTTTACTTTTTTCGAAAAAACTGAAAATTCTTTAGTTTAATATTTCCTTTTTTAATACGCCAATTTATCAGATTTATCAACTTTGTTAATTTTTTTCAATCGCACACAGCGTGGCAAAAGGTACAATCAAAACTTTTAATAGAGATCTTTTTAAATTATTTAAATAGTTTGATTGACCTTGTTTAAGGGTTTTAAAATTGGTGGATATGTCATGATGACATATTTTTTCCTCATCTTATGTTTTTTTCCTCCAATGTATTTCTATTCGTGATTACCAATGTTTTATAATACATATTTTGATTTTCAAAAAGATAAAACTAGAGAGAGGGATTAGACAAGAAGATTCTATCTCAACCAAACTATTTACTTTAGCTCTAGAAGATATGTTCCGAACTTTAGAATGGGCAAATGAAGGAGTGACGATAGCCGGCGAAAACCTGAATTACCTGTGATTTACCGATGATGTTGCGTTAGTAGCCAAAGACAAAGTAGAAATTGTAGCAAAAGAAATAGGACTAAAAATAAATCTAGCAAAAACTAAATATTTAACAAACGAATCTCTAGATATAACTGAGGAGACAAAAGGTTAAGTCGTATATATACTTAGGACAAAAAATCAAATTAATAAAGCTTAACTTAAAAGCGAATTTAAATAGAAGATGTTTCTTAGCATAGGCAGGATATATAGAACTGAAACCAATGGCGCACCCAGGGGGGTTTTGGGGGTCAACCCCTTCCCAGGACCCTATTTCGACACTGTTATTTATAAATTTTAAGGACTTAAAATGGTGGAGGTAGCATAAAAAAATTTCGGTGCCCAACCCCAGAGGACAATTCTAGGTGCGCTACTGACTGAAACTTGGTCTTTTAACTACAACATGGTCCACAATCTCCAAGTCACTCAGTGAGCTATGGAACGGAGAATACTTAACATTAAGCTCAGCGATCGCAAGTCCAATGAAGAAATCAAAAGACGTACAAAAGTAATAGATGTAATCCAAAACATTGCCATGTTAAAATGAAACTGGGCAGGACACATAGAAAAAATGGAAGACAACCGTTGGACGAAACGAATTATTAAATGGTGACCAAGAGCAAACAAAAGAAGTAAAGGCAGACCTCAAACTAGATGGTTTGATGACTTTGTTTGTCGACTTTGTGAATGCATACTTAGCTAATGCATTTACTTTACAATTAACAAAAAGGCATTATGAATATTAACCAAATCGTATAAATAGATATCTTTAGCTCTTATGTTAAAAAGTATGGTAGCTTCATTTTTGTTAGGTTTCATTCTGCAGCGGTTGTTAAATCTGTAAATAATGTTAATATGTGAAGAAGTGTTTTTCACTGCAAATAATATCTTACCCATTGTGATTTTTATAAAACATTTTTCTAGGATTTGTATTTTTTCATAATTTAATAATATATAGTTCGTATTAGGTTATCATATGCTACTAAAAATATAAATAATGTCAATAGTCGGGACCTTAATACAAGGGTCATCAAGTTATGTATCGTTGCTTATACTGCTAATTAGTTTCTTATCTATTGACTATTTCCACAGACGTCGAAAAGTCTTAAATAATTTTTTTGTCGATCTTATTAGGTTAGGTTTATATCTTATTATTTGATTTCCTGTTATTTATTTCAAAATAGGTCATTTTTTGAATGAAAGTATGTAATTTCGTACATATCTTTTTAGTTTGTTTTTACAATATTACCTTTTTACCTTATAGACAAATTAACTTTCAACAATTATTAGTAGGTATGTAACTAATATTTTATGTAGAATAACGGATAAACTATCTATTAGTGAAACTTGATATTGTAAGACAGTGGAGTTTGTATGTTGAATAGGCGAGCTATCAAGAAAAATCATAATTAGAGTAGGATATGGTTTTCTCATTTAAATGACGATGGTTGAAAATTCAGCCAATTTATAAATCGTCAAACAGATTGTTTAGAAACTGATTTTGGTTGACTATATCAGGCTATGCCAGTAAATAAAATTCAAAATCACATCATTTTTATAGCAGCCACTACTCTAGTTAGGCTTTTTCGATGACTCTGTATATATATGACCAGTAGAACCAGTGATAGATAGATTCAAAATATTAAGTCTTTTAAAATTTAGTTGAAATTTAGTCGAAAAAAATGTAAATCATGAATCAGTTATAGATGGTTAATTGTAGATAATTTGGTAAAAGCTTTAAATTTACAATTTATAATGTAAAGACATATGACAGTATTCTAATAGAATTTCAATGAACGAGCGGTAACTTACTGAGATGTAAAATCTAAGAGATATCGAGGGAAACGGAATCGTTATTAATCAGTAACGCATTGATTAGTGATCAGTGTAATAGTGCCTGGGGACTCGCAAGACTGAGACCTCAGAAGCCCTGAAGAAGACATCGAAAGCTGGGCGCAATGATAACCGATGCGATTCAACCCGAAAGACTGTTGAGTTTAATATTAATTCCTGTAATAGTATTAATCTTAACTCTAGTATATATATATATAATAGACATATTAAGAGAAAAGTCGTATAAGGATGGAGAGGTGAAGTACGGTAGGTGGTAAAATAATTACGTATTTTAGCCTGCTCAGAAGAGAATAAGCAGGAGTATCTGGTCCAAATATTAAACAATCTGGACACCATGTTCGTATGCTGATTAATAAAAAGATTCTAATCATGATAATAGACCGCAATCAGTCCAACATCTTAAATGTCACTAATTTCGAAGTGTTCGATAGGTTTAACTACCTCGGATCCCAAATACACCAACAAAACAGGCTGTGGTCAAGAAATCTCTCTCTCTCTCTTTCCATTTTCCTATCTATCGCTCTTTTCGGCCTTCATTCTAACTATATCTCAGCCCATCGAAGCCTCTGAAGTTTAATAAATTGTGAGATTGATGTCTCCTTGAACAGTTGGCGAAGTTATGTTTGTATTTGGATCAACACTTCGTTTTCATTAATACGTCCAAATATCTTTCTAAGGGCTTTTCCTTTAAATACTTTCAGCTTTCTTTTTATATTTTCTGTCATTATCCATGATTTGCATCTATAACGTACTATTGGCTTATTAATAGTTTTGTAGACCCTGATTTTCGATCTCCAGTATGTGGTTTTGGATCGGAACATTATTCAAATGAAAAATAAGCTTTGTTCCCCTTTTCCATTCTTTCACTACAGTATGTGAAACTTTCTACTGCTTCAATATCGCCCTCTAATTTAATTATGCGTCTGTTTCCCCTAGCTCTTGCCTGTGATAGTATTTTTGTCTTTTGAATGTTTATTTTTAGTCCAGTCTCTTTTGTCTCCGATTTTATTTGTAAAGATATCTACGATTTCTCTTCAGTTCTGTGATACACAACAGATGTCATCGACATAAGCGGAAATCTGTATTGATTTATTTGTTAGGAGATTAGTAGCTCTTCCTTTATTCAACCACTATTTTATAACATATACGTAAGATAGATTGAATAGTGTCGTTACCAGCCCGTCTCGTTGTTTTGATCATTTGACTATTATAAAGTTCTCAGTAAGCTTATTTTGTATTCTGACAGTTGTTGCTGTTGACGAGTCCATTGTTGCTTTTTCTAGTCTCATGAATTTTTGGGTGATTTTAAAACTATGCAATATTTTATATAACTTGTGTCTATTAATTGAGTCGTAGGCCTATTTAAAATCTATGAATATATTGTGGATTTTTAATGTCGCATTCTCACGAATTGCTTAGAATTTGTTTTACTGTGCACAACTCACCAGTTTATAGATATTCCTTGTCGAAAACCGATTTATTATTCCTCAGCAATATTTTCAGTTAATTGTGATCTGTTAAGTATGTAAGTTAAAACTTTATACGTTCTTGACAAGAGGATTATACAGCGATAATTTTCGCATTTCAGTTTATCCCATTTTTTATATATTGCGAATATAATCCCAGTTTTCCAACCGCTACGGATCATTATGCCATATCTTGTTTATAAGCAAATGCATTTGTTCTACTAGGTGTTCGCAACCGTATTTATAATTAATTTAAAAAAAGAAACAGATTGATAATAGCACCTGTAGGTATTCCAAATGTGGATTTACAGAACGTTGCGAATATCGTACAAAGAACATCGCAACATCATTTCAATTATAAAGCAACTAAAGTCCAACACAAGACTTTAAACAAAAATAATCAGTTTTTCTCAGATATATAGGACTTTTTAAACAAAGGGCTACTAAAAACTGATCCTCGAGAGCAAACGACCACGAGGAAGGTCTCCTACACACGAGGATGGATTAAGCAAAAGAAATTATTGGCCACGATCTACACCAAGCTTTTCTAGCAGTCCAAGATAAAGAAGCATGGAAATCCACGATCCGAGCAAATAAAATATAATGTCACTATACTTTATCAAAAGTTCGCTAACAAAAGTAGAAGAAAGAGGCTTGAATAGGCCAACGCTTATGATTTCCACGTTTAAAACTTTGCGTGATCCCTTTTTAGATCACAGTTAGAACTTAATTTTGTTAAAGACGATAATAGACAATAAATTATAACTTTAGTAAATTATAGAACTATTATCAACCAAAGGAAATATGGACACTTGATAAATAGTCCAAACAAATAAATAAATAAAGAGGAGAATGAAGAAACACAAGTAGTTCTGTTCAAAGTACGTTTTAACAAATTGTTTTTCCGTGACTTATAAACCAACTACGTGTGGGAAGTAGATAATAATGCAAAAAATTGGTGCAGCAAACTGGCAAAGTTGAAGGGTGCTTGTAAATAGACCTAAGGTCGAGCTGTAGTACCAATGATTAGGATGATGATAAAACAACTCTATGAATTATTATCTCGAATACTTTAATTATGCGAAATAATAATTAGAATCTGTCATATATTGTTAAATGCAATTCCAGCTTTTACTTTCACACAATCAATGTTAGTGATGATTTTAAACCTCTATAACTGTCTCCAGATCGTAGTGTAGTTCTTCCATATCTGTCGGTTATGTAAACGTCACTATTACTGGCATATCTGTATGGATGGTCAGCGTAGGGGTTTCCGTAATAGGTTTGGTACGGATAATCTCCTAGCACTCTGTATTGTCTGTAATAAGAAGGCTCACCTAGTACGACTGAATAACACTGTAGAACGAGAAGGACGCTGAATACATTTAGTAGATTTCTCATCTGAAACATAAAAATATAATAAGTCCAATGAGAAAAAATATATTTTTTATATATTAATGAATAATTTACTGGTATTGTTGGGAAGCTATTTTCTTGTAACATTTTAATGTTATTTGTTATCTTTATTGGGAATTAAGCATAATTTACGTTGAAAATATTTTTATTTTGACGTTTCGATTTCCAATATGGAAGTGGAAATTTAAACGTCAAAATAAACGTCCTTGAACTTGTGATTAATTCCCATTAAAAATAGTAAATAAAATTAACTGCTATAACTTACAGTATTAAGATTTTTTAAATAAATATTTATATAAAATATATTTGCATTTAATTAGTTGATCACTACTTAACACCTTATAAAGGTCATGGAATAAGTTTAAATGATTAACTCTATAGATCAATAAATAAAAGAAGACAGTTTAATAATTTAAATAGGCAAACAATAATCCGTGCTTTAATTAAATGTTTATTGTTGCAAAGTTAGATAAATTTGGCACATTTGATTTATTAGATTGAATATTCCACAAACAGAGTGAAGGGCAAATTTCTAATTGGTCAGCAATTTACTTTTAATTAATAAATAATTAATTATAGACAACAAGTCAAAGGGACATTTTTAGGTGGTCATTTGACCCAATATAAAACACATATAAGTCAATACTACATATTATAACAACTTTAGAAACTCTGCCGCCAATTCTTTTCGGTACTCCAAGCAATGGGGGTTCAAATTAAGGATTGCTCCTTAGATTTTTCTGCTATGTTCCAGCCAAAATGTACAGCTTTGCAAAAATATTCTATATATCATTTTCTAAGTTTCCAAGTTTTTCGAAAAAAATAAAAAAATTCCCTACTCCTGGTACCAAAATTTTTGTACATTAGGTCGCTGGTCATTATTTTTGTATTACCTAACTAAGTTATGAATGCCGTACCAATATGTTTGGCTAAAAATTTCAAGTACACGTGAACTCATCAACAATTACCATAAATGCCCTCGTAGATAGTACAAACTCATCACCGCAATAAAAGTAGGGATTTTAAAATAGACCCTGAGACATTGGTAAACTCATCACTGGCGAACCTGCAATTCATGACAGGTATAGAAACCCCTTGCAAACCGTGAAAAATTTTGTAATTTGACAGACTAAATCTAAAATAGATGTATTAAATGCAAATGAATTTCATTGGATTTTATTTGAAAATTCTACAAAATTCTGTTTCTACCTACCTAAAACTATCCGAAAAGAAAACTGTCTCATCATTTGCCCCTGTTCCCTTAACATGGATAGTGAAATACTCATTGATTACGTTTTGAGCAAACATTTACGAAAAAATGATAGATATTTCAAATTTCAATTGCGAAAAACCACAGAATAAATAACAATTAGAATGCCCACTCTCAGATACCGCCTTTGAAGTTTGTTAGCATGCGATCGCCATATTTTAAACGGAATCATAGACTCGAATTGAGAAATTTGTGACAAGCTACGATAGAACTGTAATTTAAATTTTTAGAGATTAATAATTTAGTACATTTGAAATAATTTAATCTATTCTTCAACTAAAAGTACGAATAAAATAGTGCATATTATATCTGTAGTTGCCGTAAATAAATTAAACCGGGTTAATTTGTCTATGCACACCAGATAAAATGTCACTGAACAGCACTGGTTCCGTTTAAAACATGGCTGATTCCGTCTGTGCGAACGAGATGCGCGTACTTATTTTTTCAAGCAGAGTGGGCATTCTGATTGTTTGTTATTCTTCATTATAAATTGCCTTTTGTGGATTTATGCGACGAAAGGGTGTAAGACTAAATGTCATACAACTGATGAGTAGATTTTATATCGTTTTTTTTAATTGTTTCGCACTCGTGGAAGATCATTCTGATTAAAAAGAAAAAAATCTAGCTTAAGTAAGTTCGTAAAGTCAACTGTAGAAAATGTTTCTTGTAGACAAGGTAATAATATGTGTTTGTTGCTTTAAGTATATTATCTTCTCTGATATTCATCGAGCAAAAAAGATAAAAGAGGGAATCTAATCGTTATGAAAAGGAGACCAAAAAAGTGGCCTCTGATGGCGGACATATCCGGAAATGCAAAGGCGCTAAATTTAAATTTTCCAACACTTATTAACAATAGCTATAAAATATTTTTCAGACGAGAAAGTTTTTATTAAATATTAACTATAATAGTCTAAAAAGTGACACAATTGGTAAAAGATTTCAATATAAATAAAATTTCATGTGACAGTTGGGACAAACAATAACATAACCTAACTAAATTTGACTTCTTAAACAAGGAAAGAGACTGTCTATCCTTGTCTAAAGTGGCCTCTCAAGATGGCACTTCCTGTCTATCAATATGTTTACCCCCACTACCTTTACATTCCCTCTTTTGTCTTATTGCTCGATGCTGATATTACAGCTTATTCCTAAAAAAACTGATACAACTCTTAAAGCGTATTTTATAAAAAACTTAAGCAGTGTATTTTGAAGTGTAAATACTTATTATTTACATACTGTCACTGTCACTGCAAATCTTAAAATTTGTCAGATAACTTATTCTGTTCAACCTCAAAAAATGGCTCCACATGCTAGCAAAGAACTAAAAGCAAGAATTGTAACGAAATTAGAAGATGGTTGGTCACTATCTGCCGTAGCGAACCATTTTAACGTAAGCAGAACAACAGTTTTTAATATTAATAAAAGATGGAGAGAACAAGAAACTCTCGAAAGAAAGCAAGGTTCTGGAAGACCAAAAATATCTACCGCTCATGAAGATCGTACGCTTTTGGAGAGATTAGAAGAGAATCCTTTTGAAGATGCGAAAACTGCAAGAATTATGTCACAGTTTCCGGAAGAAAGACAACAACTTGGCGCAGAATTAAAGCATCGCGTCTTAGGTACCGAACTGCAGCAAAAAAAAAGCTCTTACACACAACAGAAGCAATCAAGACTTATATTTGCTTTAAACCATCAGCTATAAAATCAAGATTTTTGGGACAGGGTAATATTTACAGATGAGAAAAATTTTCAACCTTTTAAAAATGGCAAAATTGGGGTGTATAGAACAGATAAAAATAGATTTAACACTCTATATGCTAATAGATATCCAGCAGCTGGTCATTAATATAACAATTGTGGTCCTGCTTATGATAAAATGTTTTGCTGCCTCTGATAGTGCAAAGTTTTTTTATTCCTTACTAATAATAAATTTTTTTATTTATTTAGCGTATGGATAATTACAATACGATAAAAGTTATTACAATAATAAAAATAATAACAACAGTCATATTTTATGTAAAAACTATCATTTATATACTCTTTATAAAATGCAGCAACTCAAAATAATATTAAAGTTTAGACCTTAATAATTATTATAATTATGAAATAACATATGTAATCAATTGTTTGTTTGTTTGTTTATTTTATTATTTGTCTGTCATAATAAATATAATATAATATCAGACCAATCAAATACACTGCTCAAAATGATCAAATCTTACCAAGAGTCGTACCAGTTTTTGTACATTTTTAGATATCTGATTAAATTGTTAAGGTCACATTGTTATAACTTCATTCCGAACTTTTATAATTTAAATTTTCCATTAGACGCCATTTAATTAATTAAGTTTAATTGCTGGTTATTTTCTGGATTTTAATTGAAATAAGAATAAGAAAATTAAGATTTACTAAACTGTTAGATACAAACCAAAGAATGTATATAAAATATGTATGTTAGTTAAGCATTATCCATTTGAGAAAAGAACGGTTATAATAATACGTGCGCATCGTCGTAATGTTAATACGATGGTGTTCTATTAAAAACAACCTAAATCATGTCCCATGCAACATCTTCTATAGCAGAAAATAATTTTTGGTGATAAACCACTTAATTCTAGAGAACTTCGCTATTTTTCTTATATATATGCGGGGATTCTACAGTGTTCACTGCCTTCCCTCGCTCAACCGTTTCCATCTCTCTCTGTTGTTCCATTCTCCATCGTTTAGACCTCTTTTACTTATGGCGTCGTCTACTTCGTTCCTCCAGGATCTTCGGGGTCGTCCTTTTTTTCCTTCATCGTATGGGGCTCTATTCGGTTATTCTCTTTATCCATCTGCTGTCGCTAGTTCTTCTTACATGTCTATACCAGTTTAGTCTTTTTTGTTCTATATATGTTAGTATGTCTGTTTCTATTGATGTTCTTTGCTTTATTTCGTCATTACTTCTCCTATCCATTCTTGTTACTCTGCAGCATCTTCGCAGGCATTCCATCTCTGTTGCTACTATCTTACTGCTGTTTTTCTTATTTATAATCCAATTTTCAGCCTATATGTCACAATACTTCGCACTAATGTTTTATAAATCTATGTTTTTGTCTTCATATTTAGGTGTCTATCCCACCATACTGAGTTAAGTTGTCGGATTGCTGTTCTTGTTTGTTCTAATCTTTGCGTAATTTCTTAATAATAATAAACCCCAAGTATTTGAATTTATCCTTTCCTTTGATTGTTACGTTGTCATCAATCTGTAGATCTTCTATGTCTTCTTCGCTTGTCGATAGGTACTCTGTTTTCGCGATGTTAATATCTAGGCCAGCCTTGGTATATTCTTCTTGTAGTTTCTTCATCATGTAGCTGAGGTCGTATTGGTCTTGTGCAATCACTACTTGATCGTCTGCAAAGCTTAACGTTTATAGGTATTCGCTCCGTACCGGTATTCCCATTCTTCTTCTTAAGGTTCCATCTTCTAACGAAGGTTGGATATCAACATGGCAATTCTTATTTTACTTACAGCAGCTCTAAATAGTTGGCTAGAGCTCAGATTAAACCATTCCCTTAGATTTCGTAGCCAGGAGGTTCGTCTTCTTCCTACATCTCTTTTACCTTTTATTTTGCCCTCTATAATCAAACGTAGTAGCCCATAACGGTATTCCCATGCCTTCGCATTTTCTTTTCCATATAGTCAAGGCTTTCTCTAAGTATATTTTGAATAGGG